ATGTATATAAATACTACTTCTCATGAAAAAATTGTATTGATTCATACATTTTTTAAAAAGTTATAGCACTTTAAATTAAAAAATGTCAATTATAAAATCGAAAATTTTCACACAAAAATAGCATTCGGTAGCCGTTTTCACCATGAAGACAAGTCCAGAGGTCAAATTTTTTTTTTCAAATTAAAGTATATTACATAAGCTTCAATTTAAGATATATATAAAAGTGTCAGACCTTCCGGAACACTTTCAAAAGTTAAGTTGAAAAAGTTCTACTTTCTATATACATTTTTTTATTTGAAGCCCCCCCATATATAGGGAAATAGTCTGATTAAAAAAAAAAGTATATTCAATGAAAAATGTATATAAATACTACTTCTCATGAAAAAATTGTATTGATTCATACATTTTTTAAAAAGTTATAGCACTTTAAATTAAAAAATGTCAATTATAAAATCGAAAATTTTCACACAAAAATAGCATTCGGTAGCCGTTTTCACCATGAAGACAAGTCCAGAGGTCAAATTTTTTTTTTCAAATTAAAGTATATTACATAAGCTTCAATTTAAGATATATATAAAAGTGTCAGACCTTCCGGAACACTTTCAAAAGTTAAGTTGAAAAAGTTCTACTTTCTATATACATTTTTTTATTTGAAGCCCCCCCATATATAGGGAAATAGTCTGATTAAAAAAAAAAGTATATTCAATGAAAAATGTATATAAATACTACTTCTCATGAAAAAATTGTATTGATTCATACATTTTTTAAAAAGTTATAGCACTTTAAATTAAAAAATGTCAATTATAAAATCGAAAATTTTCACACAAAAATAGCATTCGGTAGCCGTTTTCACCATGAAGACAAGTCCAGAGGTCAAATTTTTTTTTTCAAATTAAAGTATATTACATAAGCTTCAATTTAAGATATATATAAAAGTGTCAGACCTTTCGGAACATTTTCAAAAGTTAAGTTGAAAAAGTTGTCATTTTAAATCCCCCCCTGTGGGCAGGAAAAAAGTCAAATTTACAAAAAAAATATACCAAATAATAGGTAAAGATATTAAGCATCTATATAAAAAAAATTATATTGATATGTTTAT